ATGGGTTTAACTTTTATCCAAAAAATGTAAAACGAATAAAATAAAGCATCAGACTGGATTCGAACCAAGAAGCTTGACATCATTAAACCCATATTTTTGACCAATAGACTTTCAGTATTTGTATAGGATGGAAGACAAAAGGCGTATAAAACATACCTATGCAACTTAGAAATTATCGCCGAATTGGCTAATTTTTACCGAAATCTGAACAGCTGAACTTTTCGGTAGAATTTATGCAATTTAATTCAATTTCTTTTCAGTTACTTTGAAACTAAATCTCCACTAAAATGACAAGATTTGATCATTTAAACAAGGTTGAACATGTTTTGATATTATTTTAAAATTCAATAGCCTTTAAAATGAAGGTCAAACTTTTACCGAACGTCCAGCTGTTCTGATTTCGGTAAAATTTACCGAACATGGAAACAAAATATTAGTGTGTGTAGTACGGTTTATGAACACGGTTTGCCAAGTACGTGTAACGCTTGTAGCGGTCTTGATTCCACTGCATTATGAAACCATGAATTTCCATGACGAAATCATGAATCATTGTTACGATTTCATGGGTTGGAAAGTTTTTTCATTTCATGATTTTTTATTCATGAAAATGGAATCGGATTTGTTTCCGTGTGTAAATCTAGGTGCTCTGAAGTGGACCCTACACGATTGCTTTTATTGACAATAATCGTATTGTCAATACATTCTATATTGACGTCAATACATCGAGATTGACAATATTTCTGAATTCACATCATCAATATTGTTGTCAATAATTCCCCTTCGCATCAATATATTGATGCGTGTGGGGTTTGCTTGAGACTTACACATACGAGCGTCAATTTTAACATAAAATATAGTCATAATAGACACGAAATTCAACTCCATCAAACGTACTTTTCGTCGAGTTACGTACTTTTCAGTCTCGGAGCACTAAATTTCGCATGAAATATTTGTTTACGTTTGATCCTTTACGTCAAAGATGGATTCCGTCACGTGTAAAATTAGTTATTTCTAAGTGTGTGGAACATCCGTAAAATTGATTGCTGTGTGAATTTGATCAAAGCATGCCTTGATTATTCTCTGCAACTATATGGAATATAGTAAAATAATGATGTTTTTTTTATATTTAAAGGGTGATACGGTCAAAATTTGGTCAATATCAACTTGACGTATTTCTTTCAATTTTGCATTTAAAAAACCTGAACACCCCTCATTTTGAAGGTGTGTGTGTGTAGAATGTTGCTCCTATTTTGATTTTGGAATTCACTCTTCAGTTGTCAAAATGCCGTCCAAGCAAGAAGAGCAGCGTATCAAAATTTTGCTCGCGCATCGCGAAAATCCGAGCTACTCGCACGCAAAGTTGGCAAAATCGCTAAAAGTTGCCAAATCAACCGTTACAAATGTAATTAAAGTGTTTGGGGAACGTTTGTCGACAGCCAGGAAGTCTGGATCGGGGGGAAATCGAAAACCGGAAGCCGCTGAGACGACAAAGAGAGTTGCCGGTAGTTTCAAGCGAAACCCTAACCTCTCTCTCCGAGATGCCGCAAATAAGCTGGGTGTATCGTCTACAACCGTGCATCGAGCCAAAAAACGAGCCGGACTATCGACTTACAAGAAAGTAGTGACTCCAAATCGCGATGATAAACAAAATACGACGGCCAAAGCGCGATCCCGGAGGCTGTACACGACGATGCTGACGAAGTTTGACTGCGTGGTAATGGACGACGAAACCTACGTCAAAGCCGACTACAAGCAGCTTCCGGGACAGGAGTTTTATACGGCAAAAGGAAGGGGAAAGGTAGCAGATGTTTTCAAGCACATGAAACTGTCAAAGTTCGCAAAGAAATATCTGGTTTGGCAAGCCATCTGTACCTGTGGCTTGAAAAGCAGCATTTTCATAGCTTCCGGGACTGTCAACCAAGAAATTTACGTGAAAGAGTGTTTGAATAAACGTCTGCTGCCTTTCCTGAAGAAACACGGTTGTTCCGTACTGTTTTGGCCGGATTTGGCATCTTGCCATTACGGTAAAAAGGCCATGGAGTGGTACGCCGCCAACAACGTGCAGGTGGTTCCCAAGGACAAGAACCCTCCCAACACGCCAGAGCTCCGCCCAATTGAGAAATACTGGGCTATTGTCAAGCGGAACCTAAAGAAGACCAAAAAAACTGCTAAGGGCGAGCAGCAGTTCAAGGCAAACTGGCTTTCTGCGGCGAAGAAGGTGGACAAGGTTGGCTGTACAAAATCTGATGGCAGGGGTCAAGCGTAAGGCCCGGCAATTCGGATTTGGAAAAGCGGAAGCCTAACTGAATATTTTTCCTGAATTTTATACTAATTGAACTTGAAAAAGAAATTTAATTTGATTTTTTAAATAAACGATTTCACCGATTTACACGCGTTTTCCCTTGACCAAATTTTGACCGTATCACCCTTTAAGCTAGTCATTTGCTCCGAATGTTCACCAGATGGTCCGCCAGAAGATTCGAAAAATCTGTAATATTGATCGATATGTCTTAATTCAGCCATTCGTCCATCTTGAAGTTAATACTGTCAAAGGGTTAAGGGGGTGCATTTTTACAGGTTTAAATGAGAAGTTACCCAAGTAACCATCAAGAAATTATAGGCTGCACATTTTCAGCATTACAGGCACATATAATTTCGTTCATTTACAGCCATCCAACTTTATAAAATTCTCAAATGCAGTTAAAGTACGAAAAAGGCAAAATAATTGACCAATAAAAAGTTTGAGGTAAGACATGAAATAGCTTTAGAGAATGCTGATATTACACCAGGAGAGAAATGTCAAACCATCCTAGTAGCACGATTGTTACAAATCAATTGTGGAAACTTATATACGACTTATTTCAGTCATAAACAAGTTGCTGTAACTAATTGTGATGAAAGTGTGCTACTCGGGCAAGAAGAAGTGAATGCATGCTCTGTTTTACCGACATAAAAAGCAGAAAATCAAAACAAAAAAATTGGTGGCTTATCCCTCCATCTCTTTCTCTCTCATACACTTGCTGTTTGGTTAATATAGATTTTTTTATTGTATTGATTTTAAGATATGAACAGAAGACCAAAGGTTTAATGGTTATTTTTACGTGCCCTAGCTGAATGACCTAAATGAGACCGCTGTCTATGATCGAACTAAATGATATTGAAGATTGATATTTTGTTTACTCTGTTGACATTTAGATACTTGGAATGGGGGAAGATGCGATGCAGGCTGTTTTGGATTGGGGGAAAAGCATATATGTATCAGGTTTTATTAAGGCGGCTTGATAGAATTACGCTAAGCAACATAAAGAAGGATAACATCGAACACGGCTATCCCTCCCGATATTGTTAAATTCTTCTACCGGTAAACCGCAAAACTCCTACAGTGACGAGTTGTCGAATCCAAATCATTCAGATCGTTATCGGAAGACTTTTATCCACCCATTCTAAAGAAACTCCTTTCGCCACGAGTTTCATTTCCTCTTTTCTAGACGGCCTTCCTGCTGAAGAAGTGATGATCTGTTCCTGGTCTTCTCCTCATTTTAGCGGTGAAGATATTGTGCAGTTGTGTTTTTCCCTATGGTTTGTTTTTATAACATAACTAGCTGAGTGTGCCCGGTCTTGCTCGGGATTCAATATTAGCTTGAGTTTATGCGCCGATTTAAAAAAGCATGCTATATTGTACGTAGCCCCCCCTATTATCTAAGGGGCTACCCCCTATGATTATCTCCTTATACCCCCACACTCACCCCCACATGCTTAATTTGGTTCCATTTGCTTGATTAGTTCTCGAGTTATGCAGAAATTTCTGTTTCATTTGTATGGGAGCCCCCCTTACAGACGGGGGAGGGGTCTCGAACCATCATAAGAACCTTCCACGGCCCCAAAAACCCCTGTATACAAATTTTCACGCCAATCGGTTCAGTAGTTTCCGAGTCTATAAGGGTCAGACAGACAGACAGAAATTCATTTTTATATATATAGGGGAATTTACGTATTCTCGGCAACCTAAGCAGCGACCTTCTTTCTATAGCCTTTTTCTCTATGGAACGCACACATATGCAGTATTGGTTTGTTTACAATCATTTGCTGCCAGCTGCTCTAACAATTTCAGTCGAAAGAATTGTCAAAAACTGTTTTGAAACGCTTTTACAAAGCTCCAATCTTCTCTAGTGAGAGCGAGTATTGTCGGCAACCAGTTTTTCTTCGGCAACCGTTCCATTTGAACTGCATGTAAATCTGCTGTTCTATTATCGGCAACTCGAAATCAGCTACAATTTGTAGTGCGTGTGTTTCATTTCAAGAAAACCCTGCTAGATTGCTTTTTCTCAGTGGTAAAAATATAGTCAAATTGAAGCTGAAAGCATAAAGAATCGTTTGCATGCATTCAGCGAAGTGTTTTCGTAAGAAAATCCAGTGAAAATAGTGTTTCAATTTGGGTTGCCGAAAATAGTCTGTCATGCCGAAGCCGTCATTTCCCCTAGATAGATAACACACAGAAAAAATGAACCCGACTTGAAATGACAGATCATAGAATCAACTCGGCACAAAGCTTTCAAGCAGCAAAAGTTCTCTGACTTCTAAGCCTCAAGTACTTGCATTATATGTGATTTTAGGGCCAGACAACTGCTTGACGGCACTTGATTAACATAATGCTTGGTGGCATTTGTCATGCTGTGAAATTACTTGTAAATCAAATAATTGCTGATATACGGTTTCCGGGTATAATTAATGCTTGATTGAAGTTGACCCTGGACCCTACCTATCGATCCATACTCATGAAACCGGGGACCAACGGCTACCTCAGAACATCCCGGCGGCGCCGACAAGGATTGAACCCAGGCCTGCTGGGGTGAGAGGCAATCACGCTTACGACTACACCACCGGCGCCGATTGATGCTTATGGTTACAAGGGTAAGGACGGAATTATGCTTTTGATCTAGCTTTTTCGCAACAAATCGTTTGGATTTTCTTCATGTTATATCAAACACTTTCCGTGTAACTTTCATGGCATATACTGATTTTATTTGAAATCTGGCTGTGAACGCTTCTGTTCATTGTATTCTATACACAGAATCGTAGCGCTTGATCGCTGCATATTTAAATATACACTTAAATAATGCACTTTGGAAATTTTATTCCAAGAGTCTTATGCGCAACAGCAATGCGTGCATTGTTGCTATATGTATGTAGCTTCAATACTGGAGAAACGTTTGCAAACAAACTGCAACTTCTGCCTTGATCCACTATCTATATCACTGAGTAACGCTTCTATTCTACTTATTTTGACAGTAAAACATGTTTTGATATTTGTCTTCCCTTTCGTCGTCGTAAAGCTGAGTAGTCATTCCAACTGTTCTGAAAAGATTCATTGAATTATTAAGCCGAGATATGTTCGATGAACGAAATCGTTGAAAGATCCACCCAAATACGGTGTAATGCAACTCTACTATGAAACTAGGAGAAAAGGTAACAGTTGATATGACGAATTTCTTCTTTGATATCATTTTAAGTGGTTCTTTAACGAATTTATCTGTGTTCAGTACAACCTTCGGCGTGCGCCAAAATTGAGTCCCTCTGAGTCTACCGTGTGAAACATCGTTCAACGAAAGAAAGAAAAACCCTTGATCTGTGTATAACGCACTAGCCTATATCGGTATGATGTTCATGTCCTATGATCCTACATGGTTCCCTATAAATCTATATAAAATATTTGGTCTCTAAGAATGCGGTTGTCATTTTTCATTTCATTTAACATTTGGTCGCTGCGGTTGAGGATGATTCATCTATATTCAACCAAACAATAAAATCGAAGGAACTCAATAATTCCAACGCGGATAAAATATGCATATTTCTATATAGCTTATCTACTGAATGTATCGGTTACCCTCCGGGCAAACAACGAATAATACGTTAAATTAGCGAACGCGGAGAATGCGAATGCGTTAGGCAGTATCCCAGTCCCACGAGGGTTGAGTCCATATGTAGCCGGTGTTGGTCATGGAGCAGTATGCGTTGTAGTAGCGACCCGGTGATCTGCAGGATGTAGGGAAGGCAATTAGTAGTGGACATGTGCATAAAGGAGACGATTTCAGCATCACTTACCTGCAGTACGACCACTGGGGACACCGGCAGCGGAACAGTTGCTGGAATTCTTCCTTGCAGACTTCATTCCACCAGCAGGTCCTCTGAAAGGAATGTAATGTTGTTTATGAGTTATGGAGAAAAAAAGTTTATGAGTTATGGATTTTCAAAGTATGCCATGATGTATGTATGCATTTCAGGGAAGTTGAACTAACATTTTCCAACAGTATTTTGGTCATAACCCAAAACCTTTAAGAGACATCACTCTGACACTGATAGTGGTTTTTCCTGATTTTCCTTGCGATTTTACTCCACCGAGAAAATTTTCGTGCAAAACATTTTTCAGATTGTATTTTTAATAGATTGCAAGGTTCTTTCTACGATGCTTGGTTAATGAGTTATGAATTTTCAAAGTATGTGATGTCCGGGAAACTTCATCTACAATTTTCCGGGAAAATTAACCTCTGCCTGTGGGAAAATATCATAAAATTATGAGACCCTTTTCCCGAACCTGTCCAATAATACAAAAAATCCCGAAAATTAGGGCTTTCAGTTGGCTACCTTGGCTTTGATGCACTCCACTCGTAAATCTATTAAAATCAATCTTATTCCACAACATAAGTCGAAAGTTGATGACTTTCATACGAATTGAGCAAAAAACATCTAAATCGTACATCTGCCTCGCTCATTAAAGCCTCCCAAAAGTTCTTGTAATTCGATCGCTCAATTTATCGGATTTCCCACCTCCGTTCCATTTGTCGCCTTCTGTTTAATTCATGGGTGGCGAACCGAAGCCATTTTCTGCCAGCCGAACCGTTGCCTAATAAAATTAAGAATTCGATAAATTTGCCAGAACATTAATTTCCCACACCTACGGAGGAGCGAAGGCCTTTACTGTTCCTCCTCCCTTCGTCTAAGTCGAATTTGAGAGAATACTCAATGTGAATCTCATCCTTGCTTCTTCTTATTTATGACATTTACGTCTTTGGGCACTTCCACAGTTATCAGGGCTTTTCAGTTCTATACAATTTCTGCATTCGTAATCCGGACTGGGAATCGAACCTGTCACCTCGAGAAATGGTGTTGCCTTTTCAGCTGTGCCTTTACTGACTGAGCTAGGGAAGGTCCTCATCCTGGCAAAAGTCGTATAGATACGACCCCCAAGGTAGCAATTCGATGGAGCACGGAATGGCACTTTTAGGGGAACGCGATGGTATAATTTTCGCTTTATGATCGTCTTGTTTATGTACCCGAGCGTAAATTTCATTTATCAAAACATCACACCTCTTCGCGCTTCCGTGTTTACCGTGAGCTTCGAACAGCAGTCCGCTTCCTTCCTTCTTCTACCTTTCTATTTCCTTTTCTAGCATTCACAGTTCACTCACAATCAGGCCGGAACGAATCATCATTATTCGCACGTAGGTGAAATCCTAACTGCAAATCAGAGCGGCCCAACTTTGTGAAAGTCTGCCCCTCTCTCCCCATATTACCTCCCATCCGCCCATCCAGATAGAATCGTGTGCATGACAGAGGAGAAGTTTTCACTTTCCAACTCATTCGGGCGCACAATTAACAGAAGGAAATTGATTTTTCCGGTTATTATTTTCCTTGACAGCGCGACGACGATAGAAGTCTATTTTATGATCATAGAATACCATTACAGTAGGGTTATGGACACCTAAAGTTGGACCTTCTACTCAATCCCACGACTAATCGCTACCACAAGTTGTTTGAATTCTGATATTTCGAAATAATGCCCAAATAGAAACATAGACCGAGAAAAGATGTCGTTACCCTGCCTCCAAAAACACATCACGATCTGATAAAACTTGGTGCGAGGCGGGAGTCTGTTTATCTATACAGAGAACGAAGGCGAATAATTGTTTCATTTTCTGCGAAGATGAGCTTTATTCGCGGATTGCCTTCTTCTTCGCTTCCTTGGGGGAGGAAGGAAATATGAGCGCTTGTTGAGCTGGAAATAGGCTTCTCGCAGTTGATGATGTTGGGAAAATATGATACGTGATTTGGTTTTGATTGGGCTCCGTCGGCGATTGGTACAGTGATGGCAATTTCGTTATTTTTGCTGCTTAAAATAAGCTGCGGATAATCATATTTACCCATTCAAGCTCCAAAAATACGTCGACTTCGCAACGTACGCAACAAGGCATCATGGAAGCTCTCGTTCACTTCAATATAACAGAGCGAACCATACCGTTTGCCATCAATCATCTGCAGTATCCTGTCTTCAAAGTTGATCGGATCCTGTAAGTATGCGTCTTCTTCTTCTAGGCTTTTAACGCTTCTATAGCGAGCGTTTTGCTTGCTATCAAGTTAGTGTAGATGCACTTTCACGGTTATTGAGAGCTTTCTCTGCCAACCAATGCCTGAGTTTGTATATTATGTGGCAAGCAGATACTCTATTTCCAGGGAAGTCGAAAAAATATATGTGCCTTCAAATCATCCTGGATTAATATATTTTCGAAAAAGAAACTAAATATTTTCAAAAATTTGTTCGATCAAGAGTTTTGTTCCCGTACTTGAATTTTTGCTTTTGCTGTGTGGATAAAATCCTTTTCCCACTGACCGGCAGTGCTTTTATGGAAGAAACCTGCCTGCGCCTATTTTTTGATAAAACTGTTTTCACCGATAGATGCAAACTTTTTTAGCCCTGGAGATGAAAAGTGATAGCTCTACTGTAAATCCAATGACCCATTTCAAGAATACCTGTTCATACACGTACATTCTGAGGTCATCTTCATATACAATAAGTCCCGCAAGAACACATTCACGTATCAAATGGATATCTGAAGTGTAGTTAAACTTCCAGAATAAAAAAAATCTAATTTAATACTGGCACATATTTAGTTATTAAGTTCTATTTGCAATGTATATGGATAAACAGAAATAATTATATGGATGGCAAATAAGCTTAGCTGAGCATTCCAAAGCGTTAGTTAGAACAAACGGTACCTCATACCACGGAACAGCAAAGATTTGATTCTACATTCAGCTCATATCACTGATCACTGCTAACTAGGGACACGTGGGATTTTATAATTATCACTTGAAAAACTTTTTAATACCACTTCTGTGCTTTCAATTTAACTTTTTCTAGATCAAAATTGTAATTTTTTTTGTAAGATCTAAAACGACGCAGCAAAACAAAAAAACGACATTTTCGCAGTGCGACCTACTTCGATCTTCGTACTTGAATTTTTGCTTTTGCTGTAAGAAAAACTTGGTGGTGCAGAAAGTACGGGAACATACTTATGCATTTTGATGTACATAATCTTAGAGAAAAGCATGTACGGAAACAGACCTAATCTCACCCGCATACTTGGCATGCACAGTTGTACCAACAATCAATACGAAACTAACCATTTTAAATTGGCTCACTACTTGACTAGCCTATTGGTCCCAAGCAAATCGATTAACGTATCCCATTCTAGTATACATTCCAGTACTACACTATGTTTGTTTTGATTTGCTATGAAAGTTTGTCAGATAAAATGAGGGGTTAGTGGATTTTCCTATTTTTTTTCAGGGGTGAATCGATTAGCTTGGGACCAAAGATAGTACCAGAGCTGAGTTAAAAAGTTGAGCTTGTTTCTTCAGGACCTTCTGGTCTTAGAATTACCTCTATGGTTGTACTACACATCAACTGGTTATTTGTTAATAACTTTTCACTCAGTTTTTATTTTTCTTTAAAGTAATTTATAGATTAGGATCATAGTTTACTATAGACATGCAAAGAGTAGGTAAATCTTAACATTTGAATCAACACCAATGAATTTTTATACTTAAAGTCCGAGATGTGCAGTGAGCATTTCCCGAGCAAAGTCCAGCATCAAAATGACAGCAAATTGAATTCAAGTTTTGATATCAACATCAAACAGAAATCATAATTTGATTTCAGTTTCGCAATTGACAAATTTGATGCCAAATTTTGTTTTCATTTTGCTGTACATTTGCTCTTTAAAAATATGTTGTTGCGGGTTTGTTTTCATTACCTTAGCATAACATCAAATTGAATACTTGTTTTGTTATCAACAGGAAAAATTGATATCAAATTGAGTTTTCAGTTTGCTCTCACCGATAGCAGAAATAGTTTTCAATGTGATGTCACAGGAAGATTTTTTTGCTCTCAATTTTGATATTTTAACCGTTAAAACGACCAAAACGACAGCAACCTGAGCAATCATTATCAGCGAAATCACAACATCAAATTTAGATTTCCATTTAATCTCAGACTTTGCTCGGGTTCTCACTTCATTTTTCCAACGCAAAATCAAATACAGTTTTTTATTAGAATTAAAATCAACTTATTTTTTACGTACCTATAACAAGCTTAAACTCTATTTTATCGACTGCTTCAAAAAGAACTATGTTTCGTCAACTCTGTGCAAAGTTATTAGCAAATGAGCAGTTCGTGACCAAAACTGTGTATGCTCACCCGGTGCACAGTGGGGTGGATCCATACAAAAGACCGTCATAATTATTTTTCTAACTTTTTAGCTTTGCAATGTGTTTGGACTACCAGATCTGCAGAATTATAAGTACAGTGTTGGAAATAGTAGACAAGAATATCAGCAAGCAGCAAGGGGTAAGTCACTCAGCACATTAGATTCGGCACACCTTTGGCACAATCTCGTAGGCATTGGATTGTTGTAAATAGAATGGGGGCACTGCTGGACAACTGTTATTAAAGCTTTTCACAGCATTACGTGTTGTTTGACTGTATACTTTAATATAATTGATATGGTTATTTTGCTTAACGTCGTGCTTCATCCAAACAATTTATGGGATAGTTATGTGATTTGAGTTATCATTCGTTTAAGATGTTTTTTTTTTATTAAAGTACTCAGGAACATCCTCTAATTTAATATATCAAAGGAACGCTGACCAGCAGTTCACTTCTGGGTTCTCTTATAGATTTAAATCCGAAATGTAGATTCTAGCGTGGATTCGAGAGAAAGAGGCAGTTAATCAGACCACATTAGTATCCTTAATTCAAATATTGCAACTCACACAAACAAACTACAGTAGTCATATTCATCATCTTCTATATTCGATCTCCAACAATGTTCCCCAACAAAATAGACAA